GCGCCCCTGCACCCCATCGGACAGCGCACAGAGCACCAACTGTCCTCCTCCTCCCTGTCCAACCCTCAGAGCCGGCAGTACGCACCTCGACTGTGGACGGGTCCACGCTGCTGACCATGTAGACGTTGGGGGTGGAGGTGGACCGGTGTCTCTGCAGAGACTGCCCGTCCGGCCCGGACAGGGGGAACTGGAAGGCGGAGGTGGGGGACAGCAGCATGTGGCTCAGCCTGGAGGGGCACAGACAACGGCAGGGTCACCTTCAAAGCTCCCATCACCCCCTTTTAAACAGTGAGCCTTCATGTTAATGGAATTAAAAACATTTAAAAACAGCAAAAGGTACTGTCAGATTTACACCCTGAACGAGCATGTGAATCTCGACAACTTGCACGGTTTTCTTCAAAGCAGGACACGGCAGGTGTAAAACCAGCCTGACTTATGAACAGATCTCCCTGATGGCGACCAGCCGAGCCCGAGCTCTCATCAGCGTTGTCAAGGGGCCCTGCAGGACATCCCTCCTACCGCTCCATCAACCAGCCGCACAGACTCCCTTGACCGGGCACGCGACCCCCACGGAGAGGCGCCCCAGGGGTGCGCAGGGGAGCCTCCTTGCCATCAGAGCAGCAAGGTCAGACGCGTTTGATCGCTCGGCCTCTCTCCCTCCCAGCCGCTGTCAGGATGCATCACTTCAACCGCGGACTTCACAGCTGTGGCCCTTTCTGTCAGAGGCTTCATTCCCGACGGGCTCCAACCCAGCCGACCCCAGCCGACCCCAGCCGACCCCAGCCGACCCCAGCCGACCCCAGCCGACCCCAGCCGACCCCGGGCACCCTGCGGCAACAGCTCAAGGCACTTTCAGAAGCTAAAACCCTGGGCTGGGCGGAAACTCGTGCAGCAGGTGGGCCTCCCCAGGGATCGTGGACAGAACTCTCCCTGCTCAGGGCTGCTGGGAGGACTCGGACACAGCGGCGGTCCTGGCAGCGGGGCACGAACAGTCAGACAGAGAGGCCGCACCGAGGAGACGAGCTCAGGCCCGGTGCTCCAGTCGTGACGGGAAACACGCCCCCTCCCCTCCTGGCACTGGGCTCGGCTCAGCCCGTGCGCCGATGCCCCGGAGCAGATGCACGAAAACCGCTCAGACGCTGCCGTTTACAACTACTCTCAGGAGCACTGGGCAAAATCTTCTCACGCCAAGAGCAGGACTTGGAAAACACAACATAACTGGAATATTTCAGGAAAAAGTTAGGAGAAAACCAACTGGAATAAATGAGTAATTTATTTTGCTTTTATAAAAAAGGTTTTTCTCCGAAATGTAAACTTGAAATGCGCAAACGGTAGCTCTTGGCAGAAGGATATTTACGCAGTGCACACAACCTGTCTCCCAGGCTGCTCGAGGCCAGAGAACAGCGCCTCAGCTTGCCGAGACCCTTGCCCAGCCCAGCGCGCCCCACTCACCCAGAGGGCTCAGGTGTGAAGGGGGGGTCGCTCTGGCCGTCAGGCATCAGCAGGATGGGGATCTGTGGGTACTCGTCTCCGCCACGATTTGGAGAACACCGGCTGCACAGAGGAGACACAGGTCAGGGCCCACAAATGACACACGGGGCACACACACGCGCCAGAGCCAAACAAACACGCACACACACAGGGCACACATTAGGACAGAAGCCCGTCCGTTAGTCTCAAGACTCCCTGCTTGCAGGAGCTGGGGTTTCTGGTTCAGCAGCCCCTCAGAGCCCGCCGATGAGCCTGAACACCGCGGTAGAGCCGATCTCTCTCAGGAGAGGCGCCAGCATGGCCGTGTGGCACGAGACAGAGCGGGGTGCGGCGCGGGCAGAACGGACACTCACAGCTTGGTGACGGTGTCCATGTCCAAGCACACGGTGGGCACCTTGCTGCTGCAGTGCTGGTGGAACTTGTACCCGCAGGTCTGGCAGCGGAAGCCGTGGAAGAGGAACTTGTGGCAGAAGTCGCAGTAGGCCAGCTTGAAGAAGGTCTTGCGCACCTGGGGGCAGGGAAACACAGCGAGGCTGAGCCACAGGCCGCCCTCCACCCTGGCACTCCTCGCCCATGTGGAGCGCACCGGGCAGCCGGGGGGCAGCGGGACGGGCACAGGCCCTGCTGGGGCCCAGGGAGTTACCGAATTCGCCGAGCGCTCAGGCTGTCGGGCCCGAGCCGTGGGCACTGCCCGTCCCAGCTGGACCCAGGCTTCAGCCCCTGGGGCTCCCGGCCTGCTCTCTTCGCCAGCAGCCCTGCGTCGTGACGTCAGGGGCTCGGCAGTGCTGTTGCTGGGCTGCACCCCTGGGACTGCTGATGCTGCTCTTGCCTGATCCCTGTGCCAGGCTGGGAGGGGAGCTGAAACACTTGGGGATCAGCGGAGTGGCAGAGCAGCGTTCAGTTTACATGCGGATAACAGGTAGCGGGTACCCCCTGCCCTCCTTGTCAACAGGCAGTGTGCAGAGAGAAAGCACACGGCACACACCTCCAAGTGCCTGAATGAAGCTTCTTCACACCGGAGGCACAGAAGTGCTCTCGATGTTTAGGGCTTGTTTGAAAAGGGCAGACAGTGGAATAATATCAGCAGACGTGTTGAAGGAACTAGACGCACATAAATCTCCATATCTCCTGAGTAGGTAGGCCATTACCAAAACTCTTCTAACAGTCGCTCGAGACGGAGGACAGGAAAACAGATTAATTTACTGCTACGTGTAAAGTTGTGGAAAAGACAATTAGAGGATCCCGTTTGGTTTCTGATAGGATTCTAGGGAATAAGTGAGATTCATTTGCCCAACTTCAGAGTTCTGTAAACAAGCAAAAGCAGTGATGGATAAGAATGGCACATGACGTGATTTTGATAAGTTCCAAATAAAAGTTTTATTCCACGTTTAGGTGGTAATCGTTCAAGATATCGTATGTGTTTGTACTGAGATTGGCTATTGGACAGAAAGCAGAGAGGTGAGTGCGCTAATAGGGATGATGTAATTAGCGGAGTGCCTCAAGTATCAGTGTTAGGACCTCTGCCGTTTCTGATTTCGATCATTGATCTAGATTCTGCTACCAGAATGAGGATACTGAACTGGAGGTCAGTAAACAATGGGAGGACTGCAAAGGAACCCTGAAAAACATCTTAGAATAAAAGACACAGGGCAACAACCGGCAGATGACTTAACTGAAGTGCAGAGCCTACACTTCCACTACATACAGGTGGAAACACTGAGCTCAGGGCAACTTATGGAAAAGACTTAAGACTGTCATGATGACATCATTGAAAGCATTGAAGGTGAAAAAATGTTAATAGTTTTAGTTGTAGACCTTAAATCAAGGGATGTTACTGTTAAAAACAAACAAAGCACTGGTAAGACCTCACTTAGAATATGTACAGTAATGGTCACAGCATAACAAAATGAGGTTTTGGAACCAGAAGGAAAAAATCAAATCAGCCTAACCAGAGAAGCAGTGCTCCCCCCAGGCTGCAGGGTGGCAGTGTCAGGACACTTACGAAGTTGTGCATGGTGAGCGG